GTCCAAAACCAATAGGTGGGGGAAACCAGTGCCAGAGTCACGCTGCAGCAGGGCCAGAAAGCAACTATGTTAAATGCTAAAATCCTTCCTTCTGCCACTTTGGGTCCTTCTCTGCTTCAAAGGGGTTTGGAGGTAAGGAAACTGATGGTTTGTTTTGTTTTGTTCTTTAGTTTTATTATTGTTATTGTAAATGAAGCTTGACCTTCTGTCAGGGTGAAGGACAAAACCATATCTACCCATGGAACTTGAACTGTGAGAATGGATGGGACAAGGCACAAACCATCTGTCTACAGCGCTCTCCATCTTCCCAACCAAATTCAGGGGGGTTCCTCACACCTAACCCATGGTATACAGCATCTCCAGCAGCACCACAGGGCACAAGGGAGAGCCTGGCTTGTGCAGGGCTGGATCTGGAGCCTGGAAACTCATGCCTGGGGCAGGAGGAAGAAGGAGAGCACCCAAGTGGAGTGGAAAGCTTGCTGTAAGGCATGGAAGGAAGGAGCCACGCCAAACCCATAGGCTCCTATCCAGCTCTTCAAAGTGAGCATGCCAGTCATTACAGAGGGGAGGGAAGGAGAAGGTGATGAACAGCAGTGCACAGAGTTGGGAAAAGGGAGGGATGCTGTGAGGGAGTGAGGCCAATGGGTTGGGGTCTGCCAGAGGAGAACAAATGTGAGCAGGAATGTTTAACTGACTTCAGAAGAGAACCCCCAGAGTCATTGAGATGTGTCACCGGGGTTCAAGAACAGAAGAAAAGTTCCTTACCCTGAGACAAGCAGACTCTTATTTAAGGATTTTACTTGTTTCTGTGGTGCCAGGCAGCCAGGAGAGGAGCAAGGGGAGCAGCAGCAGCAGTAGGAACAAACCCTGGCCAAGCCCAGAGAGGCGATGGTTTACATTAGAGAAGGCTCTAATGTTGCACGATGGCCTCTAAGTGCGTTTTGATGATGATGATGATTATTTTCAACTGAGCAAATGGCAGGAACACGGGCAGGGTATTGGAAAGCTGTTTGGCTCCGAGAACAACATCCAGTGGTGCTGCTGAGCCCCTGCCAGAGGGACTGCTGCTGTGCTGCAGGGACTGCTCCCTGCGTCGGCAGCACGCTGCTCCCCACTGCTGTAACCATCCTCACTGTTTGGGCAATGACGAGGGTTGCATAAGCAGGAGTCAAAGTCAATTTGCTATTTTCTCCTCCCTTGATTTCAGCTTCCAGGGAGCAAAGGATGGTGTGTTTAGAAGCTCTGTTGACACCCCTCTCCCAACAGTGAAACGCTTCTGAGCTTTTCCCTTTGCAGAACAGCTCGCAGGAGAGCCCTGCATTCAGCTCCTCACAGCCTCACGCTGCCCTGTGATCCCTTTTCCCCCTCTAGACAAAATAACAAGCTCTCTCCTTTCTCAGGACCGCGCGCTTCTTTTCCAGACTTGCCTCAGCCTTTTCACCACGCCAATAAAGAAAAAAAAGCCAATGCATCACACGTTGGCTGCGGAGAGCGGAAACCCTTAAACATCTGAGAGCCGGGAGCGAGGCGCTGTGATTTGCAAGGCCCCCTCTGCCCTCGTTGGGTCAGATGCCTCTTGCTCTGAAGGAAGAGAGAGGGGACTTGTTAAAACCTTGCCTATTTCTCAGTCTGAGGTCCCGTTTTGGCTGTCCGGAGGCTGAGGCGTGAGCTGGGAGTGGGGCTGCCGAGGGGGGCAGGGCAGCGAGCCTGCAGCGTGCAAACAGATTGTGCAATATTTGCCTTGCACAGAGCTCCCATTGTACAGCCTGGGAGTTCTGCTTTCAATAATTCCCCTGCTCATAATGCCTCATTGATGGCGAGAGAAAGGCAGTATTGAGCGCTGAAGGGGCTCCAGCTTTGAAAAGGGTTAAAAAATAAAGAAAAAGGGGAGGGGAGTGGGGGGAAAGGAGATTTGAGGCTTAGTTTTAAACTCTGCTGTGTGGCCCTTATGGTAAATCGCAGCCGCTGAGAAGTATGCAGAGAGCTGTTTGCATAACCCGGTGTGCAGCAAATGCTCTTGAAGCCCAAACACGAGTGCGGCCGGAGCTGGAGGTGGTGGGGAGAGAAAGCAGGAAGGGCTGTGATTATTTTAATTCTTGCCCCAGGCCACATTAAATTAATAACGAAAAAAAGAAAAAAAAAAAAAAAAAAAGAGTGAATATCCAAATATTTGGTTAGAGAAGCAGCTGTGCAAATGTGAGCCGCTGTGCCAGCTGCAGGGACATCGGTCAATGCTCACCGCCTTGTGCTGATGGCTGGGGAGCATCTCGTGTGCTGCTCTGGGCTGGAAAGCACCAAAAGGAGCCCCGAAGCCTTTGTCTGGTGGCTTCACCCATCGCTGCTGTGGAGGTATGGTCTCAACTGGAAAGTGTCTGTAGGTGCGTGGAAGCGCTCGGTCTGGGGGATGCTCTGTGTGCTGCGATGCTGCCAGCCCTGCAGCTCTCACCCCACAGGGCTCCCATTGCTGTGGGCTGGCAGAACTGCCAGGCAGATGCAGGACCGAAGCGGCTGAGGGCTTGGACTGAGAATGCCAACATCAGCAGCTGTAGCCAGGCGGGTTGCCAGGGGAATCCTCCCTGTTGTGCAATGCTGAAGCTCTCCAAGGATGCTCCCAGCTCTTGAGACATCTCAGAGCGAGACCGGGCAAGTGACTGCCATCAGTTCCCAGCAGTGAGAGGAGTGACTACAGGCCCTGAGCACTTTTTCCATGTGTGGAGCTTGTGATGCATTAATCACCTCTAGAGCAGCATTGCTGCCGGCTGCAATCGTCCTGACCTGAACCTTAGAGCTCTCGTTTCTTCCTCTCCCTCCTCTTCTTCCTCCTTCCCAGCTGCTCCCATCTCCTGCCTCCAACAATCCCAGCAGGGCTGCTCTGACAGCACCATTTATGCATGTTAGGTGTTAGGAAAATCTGACACAGGGAGCCAGGGGGGTCATTCCGCCTAGAGGTGTTCAAGGGGTATGGAGATGTGGCACTGAAGGATGCAGTCATGGTGGGCATGGTGGGATGGGTTGGGGTTGGATCATAGAGGTGAGTGGGGACACCTCCTTCCTGAGCAGCACCTTTTCATCAAGTCCAGTTGTTTTCTACAAAGAGGGAATTATTCAAAGCTGAGGAATTCAGGGGAGAGTGGAGAGGCGTGCGGGAGGAGAGCGGTGCAAAGGAGAGAGGGGAAGGGAGGAGAGGAGCAGCAGAAGGAAAGAAAGATGAACTGATGAACCGGGACTTCATCAAACCTTGCTGAAGGGTTGCAGGGAAAGGCACAGCCAAGTGCCAAACGTCCCCACTTCTGTGCCCTAGCATGCCTGATGTGGGGTTGGGAGGAGACATGGGATGGGAGGGCTATGGGGGAGTGTCTGGGGCAGAGAATGTGGGGATGGCCCAGGGAGGAGATGTGGAGGAGGAGAGCCCAAGGAAAGGGGTGTGCAGGGGAGGGGATGTGGAGGACCTAAGAGAGCAGAGCCTGGGGGGGACACAGCAGGGGGAGGCCCAGGGGAGAGGGTGTGAGGATGGTGGAGGGACCTGGCAAAGGGAAGTCTGGGGGAGGGGGAAGTGAGTGGGGGGCCCACAGAGGGAAGGGAGGGTATGGTGGAGGGGGCTCAGAGGGAAGGGGACAGGAGGCCCAACAGAGGGGAGCCTTCTGGCTCAGCTGCTCCTGGGAGCTAAAGCTCTGCAGAGCCATCCCAAAGCCCCCGCTCAGCCCTTGCCATAGCAGCCCTGCGGTCCTGAAGTCAGACATGGGGTGTGCATGGGTTGAGGGGAAACATGGTGGGTTGCACTGTGTGTTGGGAGCCCTCCGTTCCCATCCACACAAGGGACATAATGGTGCCAAACTGCTCACCTGGATCTGTGTTCTGTGAACAGTGTGCGTTTCCAAACTCCCTGTCCTGTGCCAAGTCCTGCCCTAAGGAAAATCGAGGAGAGAGGGGTGTGCCATGCACAGTGCTGTCCTGATCCCTCATGGATGCAGACCCTGCAAAAGGAGTTACACAGGAGTGTCTCTCTCAGCTCTTCCAAAACTCCCCCAAAGCGCTGAGGCAACAATGTGGCCCCTTGTCCCAGTACCTACACCTAGATCAGCACTTTTGTATGGGCATGGACACCTATTTTACATCAAACCCTGCCCTGGGCTGTCTGTGACCATGGCACTCCCAGTCCCTCTCTACCTCAGTTTCCCCACTTATCAAATGGGTGCAGCAGTCCCCATCCCATAATACATACATATTCCTAATTATCGGCATGCCCTGCAGCGGCCTGCTTCACCACTGGAGACGTCCCGACAAGTTTCTGCAGCTCTCCTTTCTTTGCCCGTGCGCTATCTGCACGGGGCTGGACGGGTGCCGTGGGGCTGCGGGTCGGGGCTGAGCATCGCAGCGCAGGGGCCGCGCCGCGGAGAGGCGGGCAGCCCCGCTTAGGACCCTGCACGCTTTGGGTTTTCCCAGCTTTTTCCTGGAGTCGCTGAGCGAGCGGGGAGGGGCCGAACTTGCGGCTCCCCATAAACCTGGACGCTGCGCCCACGGTCCGGGCAGCTGTGCGGACTCGCGGTGTCCCTCGGAGGCTGCGTCCCTGTGTCCTCACCCCCCGCGTGGCTCTTGCGCAGCCCTCCTGCCCAACCCACAGCGCTGAGTGTCCAGACTGAGAAAGACTTTGGGAGAAGAGAGAAGAAGAAAAAAAAATTAAAAAAAGAGGAAAAAAATAGCCATGGTGGTGTGGGCTGGTCGAGAAATTCTTCGGGAGAAGACGGTGAGAAAAGGACACAGCGGCTGTTTCCCAAAGGGTGAGGAAGGGAGCGCGGCACCGCTGGGCTTGAACTTTAGCACCCTCTTCTGCGGGAGTGTAAGTAAAAAGATCGGCTCATCCTGAGCCAGAACGGCGCTGGGGCGGAGGAGAAGGCGGCCGCTCACTGCGGAGTGGGTTTTCTGTGCTGCTTTGGAAAGAAATAACAGGGGGAAAAAAAAAAAAAAAAAAAGAAAAAAAGAAAAAAAAGAGACGCGTTGAGAAGCCAAAGAGTGCTTGTAGCACTCCGAGTTGCTTTGGGGCTGTTCCTAATCACCGCGTGAGGAAAGGAAAGCCGTGCATGTGGGTTTGATTGGAGCGGCGCGATGCTTGTTTTCTTTTGACCGATCGCAATCCAGCCCCGCCGCTCCGGGCTCTTTGTGTGCGTGTGAGCGTGCCTCGATGGGAGCTCGTCCCGCTCCACTCCCACCCGCCATCCCCTAAGCTGGGGGCTGTCCGAGGAGGGGACATCCCCACGTGTCGCTGCGATGCCGGGGCTGTAGGTCGCTCTGTGGGCAGCACGCACCGCTCTGGGATGGCTGTGTACGCCCTCACCGGCTTCTCGCTGGTCAGCCTGCTCAGCTTTGGCTATTTATCCTGGGACTGGATGAAGCCTGGCTTGGTGGCCGACGTGGCTACGAGCCCCATGGAGAAATCGCTGCCTCCCGCCTTCACCCGCCCGCCGCACATCATCTTCATCCTGACCGACGACCAGGGCTACCACGACGTCGGGTACCACGGCTCTGACATCCAGACGCCCACCTTGGACAGGTTGGCAGCCGAGGGCGTGAAGCTGGAGAACTACTACATCCAGCCCATCTGCACGCCGTCCCGCAGCCAGCTGATCACCGGCCGGTAAGCCCCCACTGCTCATTCCTATACGGACCTCTCCTCTCCCATAGCTCTGCAAGGCTCACGCCCCGCTCGTCGCAAGGCACGTATCCCCATATGTTGGTAGATACTTCATCACTGCTGCAGTTGGACTCATGATGGATCCCTTCCAACTTGGGTTATGCTATGATTTTGTGCTGGAGATCCTCTAGAGAAAAGAGCCTTCCTGGCCCTGTTGGGTAAAGAGTTGATTTGTGCGTGGTTTTGTAATAGCACGTGGCAGGTCACCAGCAGTGAAAATGTTGCTCCAAACAACCAAAAGTCACTTTGAGAAAAGGCAGTCCCTGCCCATGAGGTCCTCTGGTGGTGGGGCGAGGTGTCTCTGCTTGGATGACGCTGCAGACTTTGGGTTGGTTTCTTCTCACATGGGAATTGGCTGCTGGGCTGTCAGGTGGAAGGATGCTCCCTTGCACTGCCAGCTCTCCCTTAGGCTGTGCTTTTCCCTGCTGCTCACTCAGTCTGACTGAGCAGGGCAGGGTGGGTGGAAGGTTTCTCCATCCCATTGGGCACATCCTGGTTTCCTGATCGTGAGCCTTTTAGCCTCCCGGGAACTGATGGGGTTTTCCCATCAGTAAGTAAGACTGGGATGACCAGTAAGACTTACTGGAGTAAGACTGGGATGATTTCCCTGCCCCGGTATGATTTCCCAGCATTTTCTGTAGGAGACATTTAATCAGCATCCCTCGATGTGGTGGCTGTGGATGTGGTCACCTACTGCCTGGGATGGTGGAGCTCAGTGGGGTCCAGACAAAACCCTCTCCTCTCTCCTGATGGCTCCAGAGGGAGCTCAGGCATCTCTGGGGGTGTGCAAAAGAGGATGAGGATACATCTGCACGCAGGCCTCAAGTTGCACCAGGGAAGATTCAGGTTGGCTATTAGGAAAAATTTCTTCTCAGAAAGAGCAGTGATGCAGTGTTACAGCGCCCCGGGAGTGGGGGGATCACCTTCCCTGGAGGTGTTTGAGAACTGTGGAGCTGAGGGATGTGGTGGGGGGAGGTGTCAGTGGGCATGGTGGGGGTGGTGGGTTGACAGTTGGACATCTTTGAGCACTATTCCAACCATACAGTTCCATGGGGAAAAGCAAGAGCACATGGAGCCACCTCCTTCCTGAGCCAGCGCCCTTCTGTGATTCTATGATAAGGAGCTCTCTGTATCTGGCACAGAGCTGCTCCATGGCTGTGTGACACAGAGAGCTGCACATTACTGGGGTCTCCAGAACACAAACTGCCGCCATGTCCCACCCAGCATTACTCTCATCACCACTGATTTGGCTCTTTCCTACAGGTACCAGATCCACACAGGGCTGCAGCACTCCATCATCCGCCCCCGGCAGCCCAACTGCCTGCCCCTCGACCAGGTCACCCTGCCCCAGAAGCTGCAGGAAGCCGGTTACTCCACGCACATGGTGGGCAAGTGGCACCTCGGCTTCTACAAGAAGGAGTGCCTGCCCACCCGCAGGGGCTTCGACACCTTCCTGGGCTCCCTGACGGGCAACGTGGACTACTACACCTACGACAACTGCGACGGGCCGGGCGTCTGCGGCTATGACCTGCACGAAGGGGAGAACGTGGCGTGGGACCAGAGCGGGAAGTACTCCACCTTCCTCTACGCCCAGCGTGTCAGCAAGATCCTGGCATCCCACAGCCCCAAGGAGCCCATCTTCATCTACGTGGCCTTCCAGGCAGTGCACACTCCGCTGCAGTCACCCAAGGAGTACATCTACCGCTACCGCTCCATGGGCAACGTCGCTCGCCGCAAGTACGCGGCCATGGTGACGTGCATGGATGAGGCAGTGAAGAACATCACCTGGGCCCTCAAGAAGTATGGTTATTATGACAACAGTGTGATTGTCTTCTCCACGGACAATGGTGGGCAGACGTTCTCTGGGGGAAGCAACTGGCCGCTACGGGGCCGCAAAGGGACGTACTGGGAAGGGGGTGTGCGTGGCATCGGTTTTGTCCACAGTCCTTTGATCAAGCGCAAGCGACGGACCAGCTGGGCACTGGTGCACATCACAGACTGGTACCCGACCCTGGTGAGTCTGGCCAGGGGCAACCTGAGCAACGTCCCAGGCCTGGATGGGTACAACGTCTGGCCTGCCATCAGCGAGGGGAAGGAGTCACCGCGAACTGAAATCCTGCATAACATTGACCCCCTCTACAACCACGCCAAGTACGGCTCCTTGGAGGATGGCTTCGGTATCTGGAACACGGCCGTGCAGGCCTCCATCCGCGTCGGGGAGTGGAAGCTCCTCACCGGGGACCCCGGTTACAGCGACTGGATCCCCCCGCAGACGCTGACCAACTTCCCGGGCAGCTGGTGGAACCTGGAGCGGCTGACCGACGGCTTGAGAAAATCTGTGTGGCTTTTCAACATCACCGCAGACCCCTACGAGCGCTATGACCTCTCGGAGCAGCGCCCCGACATCGTCCGAGCTTTGCTGACCCGTCTGGTGCACTACAACCAGACGGCCATCCCAGTGCGCTACCCTGCTGAGAACCCCCGCGCCCACCCCGACTTCAATGGAGGTGCCTGGGGGCCTTGGGCCAGCGAGGACGAGGTGGAGGAGTGGGAAGGTGGTGGTGGGGACCCCCCCAAGGGTCGGGGCAAGAAGAAGAAGTGTAAGATCTGCAAACTGCGCTCTTTCTTCCGCAAGCTGAACACCAGGCTCATGTCCAACCGCATCTGAGCGGAGGGTCCCCAGCGCCGACGCAGCCTGGCCAGGGTGGAGATAGAGATGGCAGTGCTATGGGGTGGGATGGAGGGAGAGGGATGGATGGGGGTTCACCCCGAACACTTCTGCACTTGGCCGGACCAGCAACCACAGAGAGGGCAGACAGACCAGCAGGGATGGGCAGCACAGGTTCATGGCTGTGCGCAGCCCCTTCAGTGCCAGACACTTCTTCTTGAGGACCATGCAGACTGTGAGCTCTGGCCGTGGCAGCAGCACAAGGGTGGGGGTGCGGGGCGTCAGGCCAGCCTCAGTCACTCTGGCTGCATTTTTTCCCTTGGTGTTTCTCTGTAGATACATGTTGCTGACTTGCTGCATGCTGCTGAGAAGCTGCTTGGTTTGCTCTTGATCTAGGAACTCGAGGGCTTCCCCAAACCCAAGACAATGGCATTTCCCCTTTATACTTCCCTATAGAAGGATGGCTTCCTGACTCAGCCTTGCTGTGATGAGGTCCTCACCTTTGGCCATGGCTTCTCCTCTTCACTGGCTCGGGGCAGCCAGGAGCAGCCCTGGAGCTGTGCCTGCAAGGACATGGTTGGAAGCAGTGCCTTGCTGCACGCAGAGGACAAATGCTTCTGGACAGCCCTATGCATGGGAGGCAGCTTTGTCCCAAAGGTCCCCAGTAGTTCATCCCCAGCTCTGCCTGGTTGGATCCCACAGCTGCACAGCTGGAGGCACCCCTAAGTTCCTCTCTGTGCATCCTACAACCAAGCCCAGGACAGATGAAAGACATCAGGAAGATCTCATAGATCTGCTCCATCACCGCAGGACACGGAGCCCCGTGGTCATGGAGAGGGGCATCCCTTCACCCTGCCTTCACCATCCCTTCACCCTCCCCTTTCCTGCAGCTGGGCAGGATGTGCCACCACATCCCCTGGCCATGGACACAGCGCTGTGCCCCCGCGCTCCCCGCGGACGTGCGCTCCGACAGGAGCTGGCGCGGATGAAAGAGGGTAAATAGCTTTAAAAGCATTTTGGATGCACGGTGCATTTCCATTTACACAATGTGTTTTACATTTCTCCCCACAGGTTTCTCTTGGTGCAGCGCGTGTAGGCGAAGGCCCTGCTGTGAATTTTGAAAATAGTTATTTTTGTCTCTGGAAAATGAGGCCCGTTAGGACTTGTCAGCTCTTGGATGAGCAGTGTGGGCTTTTTTTTTTTTTTTCCTTCCTTTTTTTTTTTTTTTCCCCCTCTTTTTCCTTTGCAAAATAACATTCATTTAAAATCTGTCATTGAAAGATGTGACAATTGGCAGCGTGCACACTGAATACCTTTCAGTGCGCTTTCAAGCCCTGTGTGTGAGAGGGACGGGGACGGGAAGAGAATGCAATGACACGTTTGTATTTTTTTTTTTTTTTACTCTTAGCTGGATTATTTGAGGGAATTGGGATTTTCTGTAGAAGTAAAGAAAAAAAAAAAATGCTGACAGCAAGGCATCCTGCAGGAGAGCCTCTTCTTGTAGAGGTGGGAAGGAGTTTGCAATGCTGGGGCTTGGCTGTTGGCGCAGCTGGCCCTGCTGCTCCATCCATCCACCACCACACTGCTGGCCCAAGGGCACCCAATGCCCTCCAGGACAGGACCCATAGGGCACTCAGCTCCTCCCCATCCCTAATGTCCCATTTCCATCCCTGCCTCATCCAGCAATGCGCTCTGTTGCTGCCTTTTGGCCAGGCCTCTCGGCAATTGGTTGCCAAATTTAAGGCAGGAGGAGGATGCTGAGAATCACACAATCATTAAGGTTGAAAAAGAGTTCTGAGATCATCACATCTAACATGAGATCAACACATCTAACCCTGTCACCCTTATTGCCCAGTAAGCCTTGGTCCCTCAGTGCCACATCTATGCATCAGCATTTGGACTGAGACTCACCTGAGATTCTGGGGTGGGCAGAAGGAGTGGGGCTGGCTGTGGGGCGGTGGCAAGGCGTGTGGAACAGTTTTCATTTCCATATTTATATAAACATGCCCAAGTTTAGTCCTTCCTTTATTTCATTTTTTTAATTATTTTTTCAAAAATGGAAATTTCCATGAAAACACGTTTGATGTTTCTCCAAACGGTTTCAATAATATCTCATTGAAAATGCTCGTCGTGTCTCATCTCCAGCTCTGATCTCTGGGGCCAGTGCTGGTTTTGCACAGTCAGTCTAGCCGGAGTTTGGGGTCTGAATTCTCTCTTAAATAAATAAATAAATAAAAAGCGTTCTGAATTCTAGAAGGAAGAAAAACATTGAAGGAAAAAAAAAAAGAAAAAAGAAAAAAGCGTTAGTTCCTGAAAAGAGGAAGAGTGGGCAGAGGTGTCTCTGGGTGCTGGGGAATGCAGAGCCTGTCCCCTGTCCCACCGCTGCTCGTGAATGGTCCCAGTTGGCTTGGATCCAGCAGTGCAGCTCTGGAACAAGGAGAGAGAAGCAGCGAAGTGCCAAAATCTTGTGTTTTCACACCGTTCATCCCCCCTGCGAGAGCTCATGGGCTCCAGGTGGGAAAGGGTTAACGTAGCTGATGGGCGAGACGCTGCTGAAGTGGCTTTGGAGAGCTCTTCGCCTTGCTGTGATGCTGCAGCACAGAGATCTGTTTACATAGGGATGCCAAGAGCTCAGTGTCCCACTCTTGGGAGAGTGCTGTGAGCCCTGGGCTGGGAAGTAGGGCAAAATACGGCCCTGTGGAGGGATGGGCAGGGGATGGAATGGGGTACGGCTGAGGATTGGCATAGGGAAGGGGATGGAAATGGGTTTGAGGTTGGGAGTGGGGATGAAGATGGTGGTGACAGGATGGAGATGGTGTTGGAAATGGGATGGGGTAGGATGGAGTAGAGCAGAGACATGAGTGGAAGGAGATGGGAATGGAGATGGGATTGGAGATGGGATGGGAATGGAGGTGGGGAAGAGATGAGGATGGATGGAGATTGGAACTGGAATGAGGATGGGAAAGGGGATGTGATGAGATAGAGATTTGGTATTAGAGATGGGATAGGCATGAGGGTCGAGGTGTGAAGGAGACAGCTATGGAGATGCTGATGAAGATGTGATGCTGATGAAGATGCAAGCAGCAGGAAAGAGAATGGACGTCTCCCAGCAAACTGCCACCTGGGAGGACAGCAGGGCACCCTGGGCACCTCTTTCTAGAGAGAAGCACAGACAAGGGGCTGACTCTCACTGCAGAACCTGGGATGAGGGAAAAGGTGGCCCTGGGCCCTCCCGTCATACCAAAAGCAGTTTCTGTGTTGCTGCTGGCACAAGTGCTGGGGCCCACAGACCGTTTGCCATTTGCAAACACAACCTTAAATGTAAAAATGCTCGCCTTACCCAGGTATTTATAATCCTCACCTAAAAATAACCACGAATTTAGCTTCCTGGAGGACAGCAACTGAGCATCCCCCAGACCCCAGCTTGCGTGTGAAACTGTCCCAGTAATTTTGGGATCTCAGCAGGATGTGACTCGGAGCTGTGCTTAGCATGTCTGTGAGACATGGCTGCAGGCTCTGTCAGCCCCTTCAAGCCCTGTGCTGGGGGGTGGCCACTCTGCAGCCCCTCTGGCACACACCGGGTCCTCCTGAGTCCCTTGGACAGCTGCCTATCCATGCATTCAGGGCTCGGTGTGCAATCCTCAGTCAGAGCATCCTTCCTTGGGCCGGAACTGGAGAGCCCATGCCAGGCTGCAGGAAGGAAATATCTGCATATGGAGCTGAGGGACGTGCGTGGAGGTATTTCGGGAAAGGCAGGCGGGTAACGGAGAGGAGGGGGTGAAGGTCTCCATCAGGTGGCCAGACACAAGCACTGCTGGCGGCTGCATCCCAGAGCTGTGAAGGAGCAGATTTCTGGGTGGGAAAGGAGATTTCAGATAAGGGGATGCAGCACCTGTCAGTCAGCTTGGAGACGAAAACCCCCGCTTAGGAAGCAGCACCAACACCAGCACGGAGGCATCGGGGCAAGTCCTGTCCCCTTTGCACTACCACTGGGGACCCCATGCCTGTGCCCCAGTGGTGGGTATTGGGCCCCTGCCCTTACGGCTCGGTGTGGGGATGAGAGCAGGTAATGGTGCAATTAATGGAAAAGCCATTAGGCCTTTCTCCTCCTCCCCCTCCTCTTCCTCACTCCGCCACTTGCTGTCCTCCTCCACTTCCACCTCCTTTCTTCTCTCCCTCTCTCCGCTCCTCCTTCTCTCTCTCTCTCTCCCCTCGAAGATTTCTCCCTATTTTTGTCTGGTTAGAGCCTTCTCTTTTCCTATTAACCCTTCCGTGGCAGCCCGGAAGGAAACTAAACCAATCTCATCTGCCCAAAGCAATGCCTTCCATTGAGAGACCCTGCTGCTGGGGCTCTGAGTGCTCCTTTTCCTCCTGCAAAAACAACCAGAAATGGGACAAAAGAGGGTCAGGAGTCCACAGGGTGCAAGGGATGATGCCTGCTGGAGGTGGGGTGTTGGCAGCAAAGTGGGCTCAAGGGAAAACCTTTCCGTCAAGGCCTCTGAGTACCACCTTTAGTGCTCTTTTCCAGTTTCTTTTTTTTTTCTTTTTAAATTTATTTTTTAATTAACTGAAAAACCTGTTTTTTTTTTCAGCACTTTTTGCTTTTTTCCCTCTTTGCTCCCCTTCTGGCTTTGTTTTAGGCCAAGCCACTCCCGGGTGCCAGTGACTGGGGCCAGCCCCAATGAGAGCCCAGCTGCTGGCAGGGCGCTTACAGGGACCTGGGGAGCTGCCATCATTTTGCTGCCTTTGCCTGACACACTTCTGCTCCATCTGCTGCCACCCGCCCCGCTCTGCAGCAGCCCGTCCCCCACCCTGCAGCCCCCCAGGGACTCTGGTGCAGGGTACCAGCAGGACCTGCATTTGGGGGTGGGGGGAGGTAGAAATGGACCAGTTGCCAGGGCGACAGCATCCTCCTGCAACATAGAAACCACGGTTTCCATGGAAACCTTTTTGCCCCAGTTATTCTGCCACTGCCACTTCCTTCAATTTGCCTTTAAGATTTACATTTTGGAGTTGCCCCCCTCCCTATAGTGGCTGTGAGACCCCCCAGGCAGCCCCCAGGGCCGGGTCCCCAGCAGGGCCGCGGTCCCCAGGGCGGGCGATGGGTTTGGGAAGCGGTTGCCCCGGCAACAGAAACAGGGCGTTTCTGGCAGCGGTGGTCACCATGGGGATGGGGATGCTGACGAAGGCTTGTGAGGCTGAGAAGACAAATTGCCCTCATCATTATCTCCAGGCTTGTCAATCAAACATATTCCCTTATTTACCTCGGCGAGGAGAGAGCCCCGGGAGCACACGGAGAGGGAGGGAGCGAGAGGAGAGCTGCTTGCTCCGAACTCCGCACCGGGGAGGGAGCATTGCCAGCCCCTTGGGATGGCCACCATCACCTGCAACCGCTTCACCGAGGAGTACCAGCTCTTTGAGGAACTGGGCAAGTAAGTTGGAGAGGGGCTTGGATGCGCCCCCAACACTCGGAGCAGGAGCGGGGCTGGGGAAGTGCCTGAGCAGAGCTGGAAACAGTGGATATGGGGAAAAGCAATGGGCAAGGAGCGTCGGGGAGCAGTGGGGGGACTGGGATCGGGATGGGGTCTGCTAGTCCCTGTTCCATCTCCTCCTGACTTCAAATGCATGCCAATAGGTGCAGACCCAGTGCACCGCATTTTGGAATTGGGGAGGGATTGGCTGCCCCTCTTATGGAAAAGAAAAACCAGCACTCCTGGAAGAGGATGCTGCTGGCTCCCCCAGTAACTTCCCCCGTTGGGAGGAGGGACGGGACAGCCGAGGGGGAAAGCCCCAGTGGTGGGCGCCCTCCGGTTCCTTTAGGGAATTTCTCTGTGCAGATTCCCCAGCGTTTGACTCATCCTGTGGGATACTCAACCTGCAGGGTAGCCCTTGTGGAAATCCCACTCGGAGCTGGGGATCTACCCACCCTGTCCCCCATCCCATCTGCATGTGTGAGTGCCCCATAAGGAGCCTCAGCCCCTGCTTTGCTGCAGGGAGGGCTCAGTGGGTCCGCGTGGCACTGCCTGCTGCAAATCAGGGTGCGTGCGTGGTGCAGAGGATAGCAGTTGGAGCAGTTCTGGGGGGGCACTGAGCACCCCGAGGTGGAGCAGTGTGCTTGTCCCAGCAACACACATGTCCTCAGTGCTGGGCAGCAGATGCTCCATGTCTCAGTGGGGAGAGAGTGGCTGTAAATTGAGTGTACAAGGAAGCAGGCGTATGCCTCTCTTTGGTTTGGTTTTGGTGCCCGTTTTTGCTGCTGCCCCAGAGCCGGGTGCCCCTGCTGCTGGCGAGGTGCCCTTTGTCAGATAGGTGTGTGGCTGTGGCAGTCTGCAGGCATGAAAACTTGTTCCAGACCCGCATCCCTGCATCGCCGGGCAGCCTTCGCTGAAATGTGCACCCATGCGTGCGAGGGCGTGCAGAACGGGGGCGAGAGAAAAAGGAGAGGACAAAGATGGAGAACTCAAGAGGCTGACACAGGGGAGGACGTTGTGCCAGGCGGGATGCAGCTGGTGCTCCCCATTCAGATAGTCACTGCTGCAAACAAGTGCAGAACAGAGCGCTGGTCCTGGGGTGTGCTGATGGACGCATACATCTACTTGCAGTTGGGGCAGGTGCTGGGGGTTGGTGGGCAGCTGTGATTGAGGAGCGGTGACTGGGGAGCAGCTCTGTGCTGTGCAGAGAGTCCCAGTTGATGCTGCAAGCAGAATGCCCGGGACCTGGGGCATGGTATGGCTTGGGACCTGGTTTTCCAGAGGTTTCCCAGCTTTTCTAGGTTCTGTGGGAGAGCAGCGGTGCCCGCAAGGGATGCTGCTGGACCCAGTGCAGTACATGGAGCATGGTGGGGAGCTTTTGGGCTGTGTGTGATGGGGGAGGCCTGGGATGGCAGCGAGGCTTTGCCAGATGGGGTGAGCACCCAGACCTGATGAGACAGACTGGCAGATGTGTTTCTCCACTTTCACTAATTAATGAGCAAACCTTGCAGCAGTAGCTTGCACCCCAGTCAGCCTGGAGCACTCAGCATCCCCTGACACAGAAGCAGAGCAGCTCAGCCCAGAGCTCTTGCAGCTCCGTGCATCCCACGACACCTCCCCTTGGTTCAGCAGAGGCAGGTATAGGGCTGAGAAACGCTCCCAAGTCAGAGCCCTTGCTGACCTGTCAGTGTGATATGGTGCAGGTTGGGAATTTTCCACCGGGATGGTTTCCAGTGCATCCCACACTTTCAACAATCAGTGGTTTCCCAGGGGGAAATTTCCGCTCTGTGAGCTCAGGAAGGGAAATCAGGACGGAGTGCTGCATGGCTCGCTGCGGCAGCGGCTGCCCATAAACCCAGCAAGGGTGATGGCATTCCCAGTGCACAGCCCCAAGGAGCTGGTGCCATGTGCTGGGGCATCAGCACATCCCCTCCACCTTCCCCAAGCTGCCTGTGTTTCTTTTCTACCCAAAGAAGACCAGTGAAGGGTGCGGGGTGCCAGGCAGCTGTTCCCAACCCCTTTGCCATTCCTTCAGCTTCCAACCATCGTGACATGCATCCCGTGGGGCTGTCCCAAACACAGGACACAGATCTGGTCCCACATTCCTGCAGGGGATACCTGCATCTGCAGCATCCTTGCAGGACGCCAAGCTGGCAAGGGGCTGCAACATTCCCCCTCACCCCCTCTACAACCTGCAGGAGCCAAGGGATGGGGCGAGAAGCAGGGGCAGCACGGGGGCAGCAGGGAGAGGATCCTGCCCACGGCCATCCAGGTAGGACAAACAGCAAGAAGCAGCTCCTTGGGTGCCTCCGAATCCGCCCCCACAGCAGGTTCAGGGAGAGGCTGGCGGCAATTAGTGTTCGCTCAGCCCCTCCGCTACCAGAGCTGCAGGAGAGGGTTTTCATTAAAAAAAAAAAAAAAAAAAAAAAAAAAGATATGGAGGAACAAAAAATCCCCAGCCCACACTCTTCTCTCTAGAAAGGAGATAAAATGCCTCGGAGGAGGAGGAGGTGTTGAAGAGAGGGAGGGCGGCAGCAGCGCAGCCTGGAGCTGGCAGGGAAGGTGTGAAGAAGGGGGAACGGAGCATCCCCATGTCAGAGGAGCTGGGGGGGGCTGACAGGACCTTAGGGACAGGGCATGGGGGTCACACCTGGGCTAGGGGACACTGGCACTGGCTATGGGGCTGCGAACCAGTGGCAGGAGCTGGCAGGGATGAGGTCCAATCTGGGCTGTGCAACCTGTGCCTATGCACTGCATCTGTACCTAACCCCATAGCTTAGTTGGGCTCAAATGAATGAATGGCTGAATAGCTGTCAGTGCTTGGACATCAGTGGCTGAGAATATCCAGGAGCAATGCAGGAGAACCAGGGACCGTTGTTTCCCTCTTGCTAACCTGGGGTGGGGACATGGCCCAGACTTGTGTCTCTAGCCTCTGGTACAGCCTTGGGGCACCCACGTCCCTCCAGCCCTACGTAGGATCGTGCAGCGGAGCCCCACATTGGGTTTGGAGTTGGGCCGAGCACCTGGGACTTCTCTGCTGTGAGTATTCTGCATTGCCACAAAGCAAAGGTGGATCTTTAGGAAAAAGGAGCAAAGATGGGTCACGGGGGAGGAAGGAGCCTCCAGACCCAGTGTTGATGGGGCTCCTGGTGGGACAGGATGAACAGAACTAGGAGCAGCACGGCTCCGGATTCCCCATCACGTCAAGCTGAATAAGAAGGATTTCTCAATTCCTTTCCAATTAAAGCCCTTCAGGCTATGGGAATAGGAACAGCTCAGCTACTCCAGAGGCCAGGATCAAACTGCAGAATGAGGAAGCATCAAGCTCCTTCCTCTCCTTCTCTCCAGCTCCTCTCCGACACGTGCCTCAGGTGATGCTGCACGGGCTGGCAGCTTTGCTGGGGCTCCTGCACCCCGCTGCTTGCCTGTTCTGCTAAAGATCTCACTCAGCCCCAAATTGCCCATCTCCACCCACCTCCACCACTACAATCAATTATCCACTGCTGCTTGGCAGCGTGCTCGCGAACTGCAGCCTTTTATTCCTCGCCATGGAGCAGGAGCGGGGGAAGATGGAGCAGGAGGTGGCATTGCTTTTGATAGTTGTTATTTCAGCGATCGGAAGGGTTTGGCAGCAAAGGGAGCCTGGTACAAAGGTTGTGCTCAGCAGGGCAGTGCGCTGCTGCTGCGGTGGGTTTGCAGCCACAGGGATCTTGCACCGGTTGCCTGCAGCCATGGTGAGCGCTCATAGCTGGTTCTGAAAATTGCTGCAGTGATTGTGAGAGCTCTGAAGCTGGCAAAGACGCTCGTACACATGGAGTGAAGTGGTTGAGTGCAGTGCAACAGCTGTGTCCATTCCCAGTGTCCCCAAGGAGCTCCTGGTAAATCTCTGCCCTTTCTCTGCCAGTAGTGGGTAAAGCAGAACTGAAAGGGATGAGAGAGCACTGAGGGGTGAATCCTGCAGCCATCCCCAGGGCTATCTCTGCCTTCCCATGTCCCCAAGGACTGCAGTGTCAGGAAGCACCCACTTTGCTCTCCCACTCTCAAAAACCGTTTCTCTTTCAATAGCCATGCCATGCCATGCCATGCCATGCCATGCCATGCAATGCCATGCAATGCCATTCCATCCCATCCCATTCCATCCCATCCCATCCCATCCCTCACCACTGCCCCCCAGAACATTAGGACTGACCCGTGTCCTTGCCTGTACTGAGTCTTTCACCTCCCTCTGCTCCTTGTCTTCCCAGGGGTGCTTTCTCTATTGTCCGGAGATGTGTGAAGGTGTTGGCAGGACAAGAGTATGCAGCCAAAATCATCAACACCAAGAAGCTGTCTGCCCGAGGTAGGTGCTGGGGGTGCTCAGTGGGTTGGCAAGGTTTGGTGGCAGGGAAGACCTTTGCCCCACTCTATCCTCACTGTGGTGCATCCTGAGCTCCTCGATGAATGGCCATTAAATGCATGGACATTGCCAGTGGGCACCCTGCTGGGAGGCTGTAATTAACTCGCTGCTCCTGCTGCTCTCCTTGACGCCACTGCTCACATCTGAAAGCAAAAATGAAGCACAGAAAATGGTGACAAGCTGCTGTCTGACCTCAAATCAAACCACTGCGTGCCAATGCAGTACAGCACTGACGCCTAACTGAGGAGCTCAGCTCCAAACCCCCATTTGGAGGTGGAAATCCCCCACAGCTTGCTGCTCTCCATCCTCTCCTCAGGTTTGCAATGTCTCTGTGTCCATCTGTCAGCTGGAGAGAGCCTCAGGGTTATTTTAGCTGCTCTGCTGGCTGGAACCAGTGGCTTCTGGTGGTAATAGACCCACGCTCTCCCCATTGTGCAGTGCTGCGGCATGGGATTGGCCACTGCCTGGGCTGCAAGCTGTCCCCAGAGGGATGCATTGGGCTGGTGGCCCGTGGGAATGTGTCCCACAGGGATGTGTGCCATTGAGATATGCCAGCAGCTATGCCACACGTGAAGGTATGGTGGGATGGTGTGCAGGGGGGAGTGATGCTGCAGGACACCCCAGGGTGCCTTTGGACATGCTTGGCTACCAAAGAGAGAAACTCTCTCTCATGCTTGGAGAGAAACTGCAGATGAGGAAGAAATGATTTTTGAGTGCAGACTGCAGTTGGATTTGTGGGGGAGACGATCCTGTGGCCAGGTGGAGCTGGGTCCCCACTGCTGTCCCCATCTCCTTTCTGTGACCACTGGCTTCTTCTAAGCAAGCAAGTTTGCCTTCCCAAAAAGCAGCAATGCTGCACTTCCCCTTGGCTGGTTAATCTCAATTTCTGCAGATGAGGAAACCCAATGGGAAACTATCTGCAGATTGGGAAACTGAGGCAGAGAGTGGGGAAGGGTGATTTACCCAATGTCACCTTGGGGCTGGGGCAGAAAGCAGCTCTCCTGTCTCCTGGAGAAGTGCTTACCCCAGTGATGCCTCCCTCCACACCTCCATCCTCCACCCACAGTGGACTTTGGCTATGGAAAGAACAGCCTAAGCCACCCACCCCCCATATCCCCATACAGACATGGTCTACGGTGGAGGAAAGGCAAACCCAAGAAGGGTGAAGGAGCAGCGTCCCCAAAGTCAAGGCGAGTTAAAGACAGAAGGGGTGGATGTGGAAGGCTGCAGCCTCACACCTCAGTGGTTGCAGATTTGATTTGATGCAGAGCGAGACAGCGAGGTGTGAGCTTGCAAGGTAGCTGCAATGGTGCCGGGAGACACAGCCCTAATTATATCCTCACCTCTCCCATTGTTGGGTTCCTGCTATCGCCAAATGCCTTCAGACAGAGGTGTGGTGAGGCAGCACCTGCAGAGTGCTGGAAGGCACAGCAAGCAGCTCTGGCATGGAACCAGAGCCTAATATGGGGCCATTACCTCTTTCAGACCACCAGAAGCTGGAGCGAGAGGCTCGGATCTGCCGCCTCCTGAAGCACCCCAACATCGGTAAGCACACCCTGCATCACTGCCTGCCACGTCCCCACCACCCCTCATGTGGGGCTGTGGGGTGGGCACTGGGGCTCCCTCCTCTTCTTCATCAGGAAGAAGTTTCTCCAAAAGGGGTCACGTACAGAACGGCCCCCACCAAGCGCAGGGGGGATCTAAGTAGGTCCCAACTAACCCAGTTGGCTGCACATCCCTGCGGGAGGAGCAGGGCTGCATGGGGACTATTTTTACTCCTCGGATGCTGTGTTCCTCTGCATGCTCCAAAAAGCGGCTCCAGCTCTGAGCAGCAGCAGAGAGCGGCGTGGGAGAGGCGATGGAGAGGGGGAAGCGAAGACTTTCCCACCGGCCGTCCATCTGAGAGTAGCCTCCTTCAGAAAAGCTGTTTCAGGAAAACTCCTGAGCCCCTGCAAAAGACAAAAATAGGCAAGGAGGAGAGAGAGGAGAAGGGAAAAAATTGCAGCAAAAATCCCAAAGCTTAGCCTCGACGGTGATACTGATGCAGGCTGCCTGTGCCCAGTGCTGGTATGGAGTCCAACACGGGGACAAAACAGCTGTCTGCTTCGAGCAGCATGGGATGTGCAGATCCCATCAGAGCAAGCACAGCTGGGGGCATGAGGAAGCTGGAATGCTGTGATCACTGAGGGGCTGTGAGGCTCTCTCTAATCGCCTGCAGTGCCTCCCCAGCCCTCCTCTCCCATAGGAACGCCGGGCTGTGCAGACAGGGTTTGCACAGACGTGAGCCTGCAGGGACCAGCTCCTGCTTTGCACCATGCATGCATTAGGGGCTGCGCTGGGAAGCTGCACCCGCAGCCCTGTGTCACAGCGCTGTGCCAGGAACAGTGCAGATTCACCAGGTTGCATTACCCAGGAGGCATTCTAGAGTGGGACATTTTGGCTACATCCAGTGCTGCAGCTTTAGCTGTGAGTACCCATTGCCCTGTGACTGTGGGGAGCAGTGCTGTGTCCAAAGCTCTTAGCACTGAGCAGTTTGATGCTGCCGCTGTGCTCAGCCTATGACCAGCAGCAGATGCTCACAGGACTGAGCTATACTTAGAGCAGCTGCTCCTCATTACACCCTTGGCTCCTGGCAGCCACGGGCAATGGGACTTCCCCAAGCAGGGGATGTATCCGGACCATCTGCTTAGAGTTACACCACCCCATCCGCACCGAATTTGCTTAATCCCCTTTTGAACATGGTAGGATTTGGCAAGATCCCAGCACAATACCCCCCAGATCCCTCTCAGATGAGATGAAACAGAAGGAAATGTGGTGCTTTCAACAGAGGAAGGCAGAAAAGCTGAGATTATGTGTCAGAGAGAAGTGCTGAGCAAACACAGGTGACGGAGCATAGGGGAGTGGAGACCATCAATAGGGAGGAATGAGCAGGGAATGGGGTGAGCATCCTAATCGTTAACACCCACAGCCTAAAAGGAATGTTTCCACACAGTGCACAGCTGGTGTAGTGCAGAGAAATGGGCTGAAAGTGATGTCAGGTGAGCAGTGAGGAGGGGTTAAATACACACAGCCCCAGTGAAATCAGAGTGAAGTGAGATGTGGGCAGGCAATGCCAGACTGCGTTTTGCACACCAGATTCTGTCCCACCTTTTTCTGCACCTTTGCCGTGCGTCTGACTGCTGAGATGTGAAAACTTAGCTGAAGGGCAACGTGCTCTCACAGGGGCATCCCTTGGAGCAGGGCGAAGAGCCAGGCAGGGGGATGGGACAGAGTGCTCCTGCTCAAGGAATCTCATCCCGTGATGATTCCTGGGCATCCCCAGCAGGAGTGCTCCCAAGGAGAGAAGAAAGGTCATGAAGAGGAGGGAAAAAATAACTACAGAGATAGTTCAGAGTCAGGGCTGGGTTGGCAGCCTGGCACTATCCTGACCTGAGCTGGGATCTCAGCCAATTGCTGGCTGTCCCCAGTTTAGATGTGACTTCTGAACTATGGCTCATGGAGGCCCTTGGCTGAGTGGGGCTGCTGCCAGTCAGTGGCAATGGGAAGAGGGGCAGGGGGGAGGATGAGCTCCCAGCAGATATCCCTGCTATGCCAAAGGGCATCCAGGCTCCCCAGGCAGCCCATAACCCTCTGTCTCTGCTGCAGTGAGGCTCCATGACAGCATCTCTGAAGAGGGCCACCACTACCTGATATTTGACCTGTGAGTGCCATTTAAACTCATCTTCTAATCTGCTGCATGCTCTCATCAAGGTGATGTGCCCCACAGCCTCCCCCATCTCATCCCTGCACTTCTGTGGGCTGCCTTGAAGTCCTTCTCTGCATAGAGAGGGAAGAGCCAAGCTTTGAGTCCTTAAAGTTGGCAGCTGGACTTGTTCTTTGCCAGTTCCTCCCATCCCATATCCCATCCTATTCTATGCCAGGCAGATGACAGTCTGTCCCTGCCCCACTCCCTCGTGCATGGCAGCAGTACTTGGATGGGTTACTAGGGCCGAGCATGCTGTGAGCACACCCAGCCCTGCTGCAACGCCCAGTGTGAATCCCTTGTTCTGTCCCAGGGTCACTGGTGGGGAGCTGTTTGAGGACATCGTGGCCAGAGAGTACTACAGCGAAGCGGATGCCAGGTGAGCAGGGATCTGGGCAGGAAAGGACAAGAGGTGTCCCGTGTCCCCACAGCTTCCCAGGGCTTTCTGCACTCTGCTTTCTGCAATTCGAACTCTTGCTCTGATGTTCACCGCTTGGAAGCCTTAAGGAGGGTTTGTTGGGGCAGGATGGCTGAGGGTGCAGTTTCCAAGTACCTCTGTGCCTCTTGGCTTTGCCCCATGGACGGGGCATAGTCCATATGAATGCTTAAGGGGTTGTTGAGCTCTGTGCTACCTCTGCTTCCGTGAAAATATCCCCTATTTCTAGGCAAAAAGCAATCATAATTAACAGATTGCTTGCACTGAATCCACTTTCAACGCATCCTCTTATTAGTGTCACACAAATAACATAAATGTAAGTAAAGACTTGCCTTACAGACAGCTGTTTTGGAACAAAAGTGATCATAGCCTCATTCTTTTTCCCTGCCTTTCTCATGCATGCAGTGAGGCTAGAGTTTAATGAACTTGACATAAAGCAAACTGACACAGCGAGAGCCACCCATGTTAGACAGGGCTGGGAAAATGGGACTGAAGCATCAGCTGCATGGCCAGCGGGCACAGCTGCTCTGTTCCTCTTTAGAGACCAAACTGGGCTGGTACCATGTCTGCACCATCAGTCCCCAGCTCCTGGTGCCAGTTCTGTGGGAGCCCATGGGTGCACGCATAGCCCCAGCTCCCTGTTCACTTGTTGGTGGCCAACAAGTGATGTGGTGGAGAGGGACACTGTTCTGCAGGGCTGCAGGTGGGACGTGGCGATGGGAGAAGGGCAGGGGGTGAGATGCAGCCACGTGGACGTGACTAAGGCACTTGTGTGAGATTTCTCTTCTTTGCAGCCATTGCATACAGCAGATCCTGGAAGCTGTCCTGCACTGCCACCAGATGGGAGTGGTCCACCGGGACCTGAAGGTATGGGCTGCAGGGATGGGTCTGTGGAAGGGTGTGGGGACCCATCAGTGGTGCAAGACCCTGTGGGGCAATGCCTGGCACCCTCCAGAGTGGGGAGGAATGCCATATGGGAGCTCCTGGAAAGATTCGGCAGCTCTCGGGCAAAACAACACAAGGGAGAGTGGGTAGAGAGGTACTTATAGACCATGGTCCTCTATGGTGCGCTGGGATACCTAGCCCCACAGAGCAGTGGGACCACATCCATCCTTCCCCCAGATGTGTTTGGAAGTCATAGCAGAGCCCATAGGTTCTCTCTGAGACACTCTCCTCCTCCTGCAGCCTGAGAACCTGCTGTTGGCCTCCAAACTGAAGGGGGCTGCTGTCAAACTGGCTGACTTTGGTCTCGCCATTGAGGTGGAGGGAGACCAGCAAGCCTGGTTTGGTGAGTATGGCTGTGGATTATCCACTGGGCCCTGCTCAGGTTGGGTCAGTGGTATCAGGCCTGGAGGGCTGAGCACCCCCAAGCCATGTATGGGGATGCTTGCAGCGTGCAGGGTGTGTGATGGGTTGGTTCTCTGTTGCAGGTTTTGCTGGCACCCCAGGATACCTCTCCCCTGAGGTGCTCCGCAAGGATCCCTATGGCAAAGCTGTGGACCTGTGGGCTTGTGGTAAGGAAGTTAATCTCGAGAATGTCCTCGGTTTCTCTCCCTGATTTGGGCCGGCCCCTAGCATGGGTCTGCTCACACCTGCAGTGCAGTGCCTCTCACTCACCTGCTGACCCCATGTCCCCTCCTGCACAGGCGTCATCCTCTACATCCTGCTGGTTGGGTACCCACCATTCTGGGATGAAGACCAGCACCGCCTCTACCAGCAGATCAAGGCTGGGGCTTATGACGTGAGTGCATTTCTCTTTCTGCCCCTCCACTACCACCCTTTCCTCCCGCTGCCCCCTCACTGCAGTCTGCTGCTCCAGAAGAGTGACTGGGATGAGTCAGACGGGAATGAGTTCCCTTCCCTTGCTCTGGTTGTAGAGGGCTGACTGAGATGCTGTGCCCAAGTGCACACATTGGCACCTTTCAGTCCACTTTGCAGAACAGATGGGTGTCATCCTGGGTCTTGTCCTCCCTCCAGCCCTGCTCCCCAGCTGGCAGCAATTCTCATTTGCTTCCATGAGTTCCTCTGCCTGCTCCCACCTGGGGCTGGAGGAGAACCAGCCCAATTGCTGAGGACTGCTGCTCCTTGCCTTGCTCCCTGCCATCCCTCACCCATCCCTCTGTTGGCAGTTCCCCTCCCCTGAGTGGGACACTGTCACTCCCGAAGCGAAAGATCTTATCAACAAGATGCTGACCATCAACCCATCCAAACGCATCACGGCAGCGGAGGCTCTGAAGCACCCCTGGATATCGGTGAGTCGGGTGGCACTCACCCACAGGGACCCAAGCTCTGTGGGCATAGGGGTTTGCATTGGGATCCTGCACACGTGTGCCCTGAGCCAAGTCTCTCTCTTCCCAGCACCGTGCCACTGTGGCCTCATGCATGCATAGACAGGAGACGGTGGATTGCCTGAAGAAGTTCAACGCCCGGAGGAAACTAAAGGTAATTTGCACGCTGTCCTACCCAGGCTGCTGCAGCATGCTTGGTGGGGTCTGTGGGGGCTGGGTGCTGAGTGGGGAGAGTCAGGGTTTGTGTGGATTTGCACTTGGCTGCACGCAGTGTGACACAGAGCAGGGCAGCTGCAGGCTACTAACATGATTATCAAGAAAAGAAACTGGCTATGAACTGTTATTACTTTTCAGCCAGACAAGTAATCAAATTAGTTCAGGCATGCACTTCAAAATGGTAATCCATTACTGCAGGCAATTAGTCCTAAGTAATCTCATTATACGTTGAGCAACTAGTTAGTAGAGTCAGATGGAGAAGGAGCAGCATTTTTCTGGGTGTTATTTTGCAGTCTTGCTGTATGGGTGGCTTCCATGAAAACTCCCCATCCCTTTCATTTCAATCACATCCATTTCCGCTCCCGGCGGCTCCCCTTGCCACCAGCTGCCCACCCCGGCCAGCAAAGAATGGGATTGAAATGTGCCCTGGGTTATTGAATATCCCTTTAATCTTTGAGGGAAGATTCAGAGCCTGCAACCCAATGCCCTGGCGTTAAGGATAAGAAGTCGGGTCAGCCTGTGGGCCAGCTTCCTTCCAGCAAAGGGTGTGGGGGACAGGTGACACACAGAGCTGGGAGCATGGGGACCCGGTGGCTCTGCGCACTCCCCTCCTTTCTGCCTTCTGTGTGTTGCAGGGAGCCATCCTCACCACCATGCTGGCCACCAGGAACTTCTCCGGTAGGTGCTGTCTCTGGGTTTCTCCCCTAAGGGCAGAGCTGGGGGAGGAGGGGAGCAGCTACAGTGGGGCTGAAACTGCAGCTGTGTGCTCTGGGGAGGTGGTGATTTGGCGCCCTCTCTCCTGGAGATGTTTGTGATGTGGATCCTCCAGATGCCCCAGCAGCACAGGGTCCCCCCACTTCACCCACCTTGGGATGCTGACCCTGCAGAGATGCTGCTCCTCTCCCACATCCCTGCATCCCCAGGGCTGCACTGAGAGGCAGGGATGGAGCGTGGCAGTTTGCAGAGTTCTCAGCACAGCCTGGCTTGTTTTCAGATGGGAATTTTGGAGTGCTTTGCTGAGACACTCCAGGAGCCGGGTTTTGGTGTGGACAGGGAGAATCAGGGGCAGCTGGCCCAGCCAGGAGCAAATGGCCACAGTCAGGATTGGCATCTGCATTTGTCGCAGGGGGGTGGGGAGATCATGCTGACATATTTAGCACTTGTGGGCAGCGTGTGTGGGGCTGGAGGAGTCCAGCAGCTGGCACGGATCCGGTTACGGAAGGCGCAAAGCATCAAAGGGCAGGAAACCCAAAAGCTTCTCTCCTAACACTTCCCATCCACGCAACCCAGGGGCTGCCCGTGCCCCCTGCCCACCCCAGCAGGCAACAGGACCAGCATGGGGCTGCTCCTACGGGCGCTCCAGGATGTGGGGTCCCTGGTTCAGCCGGGGGGTTCGGCGCTTGGCCAACAGCTGGAGGTGGGCACTGGAAAGGCATCTGCTTTTCATCATTGTCAAAATGTGGGCTGCAGCTGTCAGGCCGGCGGGCCGGCAGCACATGATCCCAGCAGCATGGGGCTAAAATTAGAGGGGCGGCAGGCGGGCGGCCCATTCCAGCGCCGCGCCGACAGCGCCCGCAGCCAGCGGGCTCCCTATGGGGCACCCCACTGCCTCGCTGTGACGTTTGGGGACGCTGATGTCCCTCATGGAGAGCCGCTCTGGTGGGACGGGCCGGTGCTGGAGAGGTCATCCCTGAGCTCGCAGGGTTGCGCCGGAGGGGCTGTGAGAGGACGAGAGCCGCTACTCGGCTCTGCTGCCCGGCATCATGCTGCTGATCTTCGGCCTCCTGGTGCTGGTGCCCTGCCTGGCTCTGCTCACCTCTTTCCTGCTCTCTCCAGGAGGCAAGAGCGGTGGCAACAAGAAGAATGACGGCGTGAAGGTAAGTCCCCTCCTGCCTGCCTCTCCGCTCCCTGGCGCTGGCAGTGGGGTCCTGGTGCTATGCCAGTGCTCCCTGAGGCACCCTGTGCTTTGAAGGATAGTTGTTGGCACTGCTTTCCTGGTGTGTTCCTGAGCCACTGGAGCAGCTTTTCAGCATGGTGAGGGAAGGGGTTGGTGCTGCAGCCAGGAACAACAGAGCATAGTGGAGTCTCACTGCTGCTTTGTTGCCCCAAAAACACGCTTGTTCTGGGGCTTCAGGCTGGTGGTGGGCTTATCACCCCATCTCAGAGCAGTCCTGCTGCTCCAGGGTCCCCCAGCACCATCTTATCCCCACAGTGGTCCATGGAGATGTTTAACCCTCTCGACCCCGTTCTCATCTCCTGTGCTTGCTGTAGACGGAAAAAATGAGCACTCCAACTTGGCAATGTGCTGGGAACAAGCTGGTGCTGGAAGGGCTGCAGGAAGAACGGCCCATGCAAAAGTCTTTTTCTTGTCCTGTTGGATACAAACTATTGCTCAACAGTGGAGAACTTGCATGATCACAATCCTCTGCTCCAGGGCAGGGATGCAAGTTGTGAGGCAGAGCTCTGGGACTCTGATTGCAGCACAGATTCTTTTCTTCTTCTGGTCCTTTTGCAGGGACTCTGCTGTTGTGAGGGTTGCAGGATTTGGAAGAGCAGTGCACTCAGCTGTTTTCTTCCTTCCTTTGCCCAAAAGTTTCCTTCTTCCTTCCTTCCTTTGCCCAAAACCCCAAAGGGCTGGGGATGGCTTTTTGTTCCCCTCCCACTAGTTGCGGCATGCCAAGCCTGCAAGGTTTGAGACCACACAAAATCTGCACGCAGCTCCACAAAATCAAATATTCTGTCCACGCAGCATTGTTCTGCAACATGAAGCTGATGGGTTACATTGCTATGAGAGGAAATTGCCTTGGGCAGTGGGATGTCACATGGCTCCCAGGGCAGGACTGCTGGCTTTGCACAGCCCCACGGGAGTCCCAGCAAGCTGCCTGCCAGCCCTCATCTGCTGCTTCTGCAGCCACCTGAGCAGTGGTCCCAGGTAGAGGTGCCACAGTGTGAGTTGCTGGAGCATAGCTGATTCAACTGGGAGAAGCTTTTTAAAGCACTGGTGGCTGCAGACACTTCGTCAGGCACAGCCCTGAATTATGTTTTCCAGCAAAAAGGAATTGCCTTGATTTCAGCTCTAGGTGTCATGATAGAAGACCACTTGCTGACCCAGTATCCTAACAGAGATCTCTCTTGGCTTTCCAAGTAGACTGAGTGTGAATGTTAGCCTGGGAAACTGGCTGCCGAGGCCAAAGTTTGGTGGCCCAGCACAGGTACCTGGCATATGGCAGTGCGCTGCTGGCAGCTTGTCACTTCCTTCCATCTCGCTGGGAAAGCAAGGCAGGGATGTGGAATCCTGCATGGATGGGTGGGCAGGTCGGGAGGGGGCTGAGGGCCCAGTCATATGGGGGGGTTTGTCGTCGGAAGAGTTGTCTGCACCTGGAGATATCACCTGGGCCAGCCTTCATGAGAGCAGGCACCAGGAGGGTGCTAGCCCAGGCTTGGAGAGCTCAAAGCACTCTCCCAAGGAGGTTTCCCCCTACAAAAAGCGCTCACAGGATCAAAAACTCCTCTCCACCCCTGCTCTGGGGTCCCCAGGAGGTGTTCTGGTCCCAGCAGCCACGATACCTTCACTGCCCTGTGTAGTGTCCCATCTTGTCACGTTGTGAACTAATGAAATCACTGCCCCATGTCACATCCTGTCCCGTCCAAAATTAATGAGCTCACTGCCCCGTGTTGCATTCTGTTACTGTATGTCCCGACTTGACGCAGTCACTGCTTTGTGTTGCATTCTGTTGCGTCTGAAATTTCTGCAGTTTACTGCCCCGTGTGCTGTCCTTGATTTGCAGAGGCTGGGAGCTGTCTCTGGCTGTACGTCCCCCTGAGGTTCCTCCTGAAGCACAGCAGCGTGCCCTGCCCCAGGGACACCTGTCGTCCCAGGGAAGAAGGGGTTAGGAATGACAGAGGACTCAGTGAAGGAGAGGACAGTGCATTGGCGTGGGGGAACCTCAGTATTGATGCTGGTGGAAGCCATTTAGGAAGTGAAAAGAGCAGTGAGGATGGATGGATGTTAGTTTTCCTACTGCAGCCTATTTATTCACCCTAATGTGTTGCTGCATGGGTTTTTCCAAGAGTTAGGCACAGTGCATGTTGCTTTTATCTCTGTGAGACAGGCAGAAATGGTGCCTTGTTAAATGTGCTGGTAAAATGCTGCTTATTTGGCACTGCAGCTCCTAATTCTTGCATTGGTGCTTCCTGTCACCAGCTGTGATTTGTACCCTGCAAACTGGAGGTGGAGAAAGGCCAGTGTGCAGAGGGGAGCACTGCATGAAAAATATGGAGTATCTAGAACTAATTTGGGATTGCAAGTGGCGATGCAGCAATAGAGTCTTCTTTTCCAAAGCATTAGTGCCTAGTGGTAGTGGTCAAGGATGGAGATGAATATGTGCATATACAAGACTGTCTCTTGGGAGGAAATTTGATTCAGGGCAGCAGAGCTGTGTCAGGACAGCTTCTTATGGTGTGTCTGCCTCGCAGGGTTAAGAAGCGATAGCCGTGCTGGCTTTAAACCAGCCAGCTCTGTGCTGAAGACAAGTGAAGGTCCAGGATGACAACTGGGTGTTTCCACACTGGTCATCACATGGATAGAGTCAGTACAACTTCATTTTGGTGCTCATAACCAAACCACAGCGTTGTGAGGGTGGCAAAGCTGCCAGAGCATTTAGGCATCTCATATTGCTCCTGTAGGCTTGGTAGCCTGGACAGAAAGCCAACAGAGGAGTCACCTACTTCTGCAAGACCTTTGGGCTAGGCAGGTCTTCGGGGTGAGCAACAGCAGGGATTGTGGCAGGTCAGGAGAAAAAGGTGACAGTGGAAATGTGGGCAGGAGCTGGCACGGCCCCGCTGTGTGGTGGCACGTCCCTCCAGGAGCACCAGGTTGGCCTCGTGCCTTTGGTTACCCCTCCGTGAGGACCATGAAGAGTGGCTCAGGAGCTGCTGCCTCTCTCGTGCTGCTCTCTACCTTTCTCACTCTGTGTCTCTTCCTGTTCCATCTCTTCTCCTTGTTTTTCCAGAAAAGAAAGTCCAGTTCCAGCGTTCAGTTAATGGTGAGTGTCCTTCGTCTTCCTCAATGCCGATATTGCTGGGCCTCTCCACATGTTCCAGCTTTCCCCCGTTTTTGGAAGTTACCTCGGGGTAGGGAAGAAGGGCCACCGGGGTTGGAGGGAACATCCTCAAAGCCGTATCACCCACAGTCCCCATTCACAGGGTTGGTGCAGGCACTTGCTGGCCACTTGGCACTTGCTGGTGGGAAACCAGCCCTGGTTCTTGCTGATGGGTTCTCATGCCGTTTCTCCCAGTTCTCCTGACTCAGGTCTGCAGGCTGCATCGGTCCAAGGAGCCTTGGAGAAACACCTTCCATGCCTCTGCGGGGACTGTATGGTCATGGGACACCTTGCCAACCTACATCGGGGTACTATGGGTAATACATCAGCAAGGCTCTGCTGGGAAGAGCTAGCAGAGCCATTGCTCTAGCTCCGCTAGCAGAGTCGCCTTGATGGGGCTCCTGGAGAGAGACGGGGGGGTCAGAACCCCCTCCACCCCAAATCTGTCTAGTGCTCAGCTGTTGATGGAAAGAGCTGTGTCTCAGCCTTCGGTGGTCCATGTGGGTCTTGGAAGCACTCTGTTGTATTGTACATTTCTTTCCCTACTCTGCGGTCAGTGTGGTCTCTCTCACTCCTGCACAGTCCCCTCTTTCTCATCCCAGCTCCTCCTCGCTGTTAATTTGTACATCTCTATCGTACAGTCAACATGGTGTCTTCCACCCCTGCGCAGCCCCTTCCCTGCCCTCCTGGCACCCCGCCGAGCCGCCCCGGACCTGCCCCACCTCTGTGTCCCTGCAGGCGTCGGTAGGACAGGCAGCGCCGTGCCTGCAAGACCCTCCCGAGCCCAGTCCATGCTCCCTTGGCACACGGCCGGGGGGGCTCGGCCAGCGCGGCGCTGCGCTCGAGCTGTGGTGGAGGACGGGTTGGAGCTGCCGGCGTTTTCCTCGGCTGCCGTCCAGTCGCACAGCCGAGCGCTGTGGGGTCGGACTCGGGGGGGCTGTCGGACACACAAGCTCCTCCTGGCATGGGGAGAAGACTGGGCTCACCGTGCTGTCTCCTCTCTGTTCTTTGCTCAGGAATCGTCGGAGAGCACCAACACCACCATTGAGGATGAAGACACCAAAGGTACACCAGTGGGGGTACGCCAAGGTCACTAGCCTAGCAGCCCCTAATGAGGTCTTGGCTATGGGAAAGCCCAGCATCAGCACAGTGCCTTGGGTTTCCTTAAGAGTGCACTGCTAGCATAGGTGGCTTCACCTTTGGGTCACCACCAGGAGTATCTGGGACACTGCTGGTGAAGAGAGGAGGCCCACAAAACTGGAAATGGATGATACCATTCCTTTCCTGCATCCTTGCTGAGGTCTGGGCTCTTTTGAGACCAACGTCCCTCAAAGAAAAGACTCCAGGAGAAATCTCTCCTCCCTGCCCACTAGAATCAGCTTTCTAAGAATAACCCAGGGAATCATTTATTGGTGCTAATTTGTAAAGTCTCTTGACTAAGTGATCTCAGCGCAACACAAGATAGGCTATAGCCAGATATGTTAGTTGGATACGTGTCCTCTCAAGGCAGGTCTCCCGGTGATGCTCTGTACAGGACAGTCTTCCTTTCTATTAGGAGTGACTTTTGTGTGTCTTTTCAATAATCTTAGCAAAAAAAAAACTAACCAAACAAAAATCCCGGTGTTTTTTATTTTAATTTGTATTTTTATTCTTCTTTAAACCAACAGTACGGAAGCAAGAAATCATTAAGGTGACAGAGCAGCTGATCGAAGCAATAAGCAACGGCGACTTCGAGTCCTACACGTGAGTGTGCTCAGTTGTGGGCTGGGCTCAGCGCCCCAGAGCAAGTGCCAAAGGACCTTGCTGCCAAGGGCAGGGTGACCTGGCAGAGGGACGTGGACACCATCCAAGAGACACAGGAAACATTGGTTTCCCAACCCCGTGCTTTCTCACACTGAGATGACCACATTTCTCTGGTCTTGTTAGCACAGATGTGCCCATTTTCTGGGTTTGCAGAAAGATGAATAACTGCAAGTGTGATTTATGGTGGAAGAAGGAACATTACATCTCTACACCCAGACCGCCTCAGGCTGCTTGGAAGCAGAACTGCTCTCTACTTGCTGAGTTTGAAGCTCCTCAGACTACACTTCTTCTGTGTCCAAGGCCTATTTAATTAGTGCATCTGAGTGAGTGCAGGTCTGCTTCCCTGCCCCAGAGGACAGCAGCAGAGATATTTTGATACAGAGCAGAGAGAATTGATTTTTCCCTGCTGTTTTTCTCCTACCTCTTATGAAGAAGGCGGCAGTACTTAACAGGAGGTGTTGAGTGATGGAGGGACCTGTGTCATCGGGGTCCCAGCTGAACTTGTGGGGCTGGGGGCAAAGGGTGTATTGGCTTCCTGCAGGGCCAGGCCAGGCTTCTGCTTGAAGACAGTCTGTCTTGCTGGAAGCAATGAGATGATTTCTCCCTTCCCTCTCCCTTCCACCTCCGCAGGAAGATGTGTGATCCTGGGATGACTGCTTTTGAGCCTGAGGCTCTGGGGAACCTTGTGGAAGGCCTGGATTTTCACCGATTCTACTTTGAAAACCGTAAGCTGCCCCTTGCCTCCTGAGAAACCCTTCCTACCTCCCATGGTCTGGCTATATCCCTACCTTTAGCAGCTTGCTGAAGAGAGGAGGGAAAGGGTGGCTTTGGGAGCATTTAGGCTAGGTTGGAATATCCCAGATGGTGAATGAAGAGCTGTTTGGTTAGTCATAGAATCAGTAAAGAGGGAAAAGACCTCCAAGGTCACCAAATCCAACCCACCCCCACCATGCCCGCTGACCATGTTCCTCAGTGCCACGTCCCCATATTTATTGCACACCTCCAGGGATGGTGACTGCCACTTCACTGTGCAGCCTATTGCAATGCACTGTAATTCTTTCCAAGAAAAAACTTTCCTAGTAATCAAGCTGGTGCAACTTAAGGCCATTACCACTTGTCCTAGCTCCCTAGGTGCACCCATCCTGAGCCTATTATGTCCTCAGTCTTCCAACCCCAGGACCTCCCCTTCCACACTGAGGAGCCACCCAAAGTCCTTCCCCTGCCTCAGGCTACCCTGATTATCCTCTTTCTAGTGTGGTCCCGGAACAGCAAGCCTGTGCACACGACCATCCTGAACCCCCACATTCACCTGATGGGAGATGAGTCCGCCTGCATCGCCTACATCCGCATCACGCAGTACGTGGACGCAGGGGGCATCCCCCGCACTGCCCAGTCTGAAGAGACCCGCATCTGGCACCGCCGGGATGGCAAATGGCAGATTGTCCACTTCCACAGATCTGGCGCGCCCTCTGTCCTACCGCAGTAAGCCCTGTGAGCATCCAGGGGCTGCAGATGAGGTGGAAGGGTGGGATCCTATCCCAAAGAGCATAGCTGTAAGACTTGCGGTGGGGAGGAGATGGGCAGTGGTCATGAGAGGGCAGTGGGAGAGGGATGCTCTGCTGGAATGATGGCTGAATCAACGTCCTGCTCTGCTTGTTGGTGTTTTGCAGCTGAAGTGTGGTATGGCCCGTGCTGGATTTGTCACTGACTGACTGCCAGGGGAGACCCTCCAACTCTTCACCTACAGGATTTTGGCTGTTGGCTCTGCTGCTTGGTTCCTGCTGGAATAGCTCCTCGCTTCTCACTGCACACATGCAACGGCCTCAGCGGCACCTACAAACATCCCGTCTCCATCCCCTTTCACCAGGACCCCTTCCTCTGCATGAACGAAGAAAAGAAAAACCATGAACCTAAATCTGAGCACTTGATGCCTGCCAGGGCAAAAGGCCCCCCTACAGCCCTGCAGTCCCATACATCCCACAGATTGGGACAGGACTCTTCATCCACCTCCATTGCCACTTCTGCTGGCAGCTCCCCAAAGAAGAGGAGGTTGTGGGGAGCTGCTCAGTGCCACACACCCTCCGCACGCCGGTGGATTTTGCCTTGCTGCTATCAAGGTCCCTGCCCGCTGCCCTGAGCTCACGCGTCCCGGCAGCCTCAGCTGGGGAACCTGGGTTTTAAACCATTTGCAAAATTCAGCTTCTGTGCATCTTGGGTGAGGAGGGGAATACGTGGATGGGTGAGTAAAGGTGTCCTGGTGTTTTCTCTTCCCAGGAGGGTAAGTAGATTTGCGCCTTGGCAAGCTACCAGGATGTTCTCTCTCCTTTCTTCCCTCTCTCCTGGGAGTGAGGACTGGCAAAGCTGGGAGAAAAGAGGAGAAAGATGACCTCTGTCTATCACCACAGCCCAGAGAGCTCTCCCAGCCCCAGTGGGCTCGGGGCAGCAAATCTCTCCACACCCTGCTCCCATCCCTTTGGATCCTAGCCCCCAACCCCTCGCATGCAGCATCTGCAGCTCCCCATGGCACAAAGGCTGAGGTTGCTGAGATGGCCACTGATTGGAGACACAGACACCATTGCCCACACGACACCTTCCAGCGAAGATGAGGAATGCAAGCTTTAGTGACAAAACTCTGCAGAATCTGGTTGTGCTTTGAAGAAACAAACAAGCCTTTAGCTATCTTCTACTTTGAGCGCATGCCTTTTTATAGGAAAAAGAAAACAACCTACTGTGTATTTCGTAACTTGATTTTGAGTATTTGCTGAAATGGATCTTTATGTAATATCTAGAAACATTCAACTGTTTGGGGTCAGGGGGTGGGGGGATTTTGGGGGGTTGCTGTTTTCTGTTGCGTTTACATTTGGAGAGGGGTTGCAACGCCATGCTGCTCCCACCGGGGCTGCCAGCAGGCAACGACACCAGGGCAGCTGTGTCCCTGGGACACCAGTGTCCCCAGGCTTCTGCACCTAGGGGGCTGCTTGCATGGCAAACCCAGAAGGAGACTCTTCTGAGCCACCAAGGTATGGTTTTTAGGATGGAAGGCAGGGCCAGGACAGGGAATTTTGGTCCTGCCCCTCTGCCATCAGGTAGAGGTTTGACAGACGTGAGGGCGGTGGATTTTCCAGCAATGCTTCAGCTTCTTGTTGTCTTTTTCCAATGGAAGCCCTTTTCTCGTTGACATGGGGCTCCTGCAGTGCTGCTGCCCCAAGGACTTTCTAGCTGCACTCTCTTCATCTGCATGGCGTTTATCTTTCTAGACGGTGCGTGTGTTGAAAAACAAAGAAGTTATCAAAAGAAGCACTTGTTTTGGACATTGAAAAAAAAAAAAAAAAGGAAAAAAAGGAAAAAAAAAAAAAAAGGAAATGTTTTCTCCATGTAAATTCTGGGTGTGTATTTTGCCTTTTCTGTGGTTTTGAATGCTTTGCTCTTTGTCTAGGCAGGGATGGCTGCCTCGCAAAATGCAGCCACGTCCTTGCAGACTGCAAAAATATTTTCCTACTGGATGGAGGGGCAGGAATCCAAACTGTTGGGGTATTGAGAGGCTGTGAGAAGTTTCTGTTGTGTCTCACTGTGCAGGGACCGTGACTGTTGCTGGCAATGTTGTATAGGAGAGACTTTTTTGGAAAGAAATCTCAATGGTCCTCTTTGGATGCGAGTGTGTGTCCCCATGCCTTTGGTGGACCTTTGCTGGTTGACTGTGGAACTATGTTGGCTTGCAAGAATTGCCCCCAAAGCAGGGATATCTATTCAGGGAGAGAACAAGCTTTTAAGACAGAGTTGGGGTGCTTTCACAGACCCATTTTTCTTCCTGTAGTTGCGTAGTGCTGATTTATTTTATTTTTTTCCTTTTTCATTTTTAAAGGAAGGACTCAGCTCTTTCACGGTTCTCCCTCCTCCCCAGCACTGGCTCTGAAGCCAGCCATGGCAAAGGTCTCACCCACCTCCTGATGTCAGAGCTGTACTGCAGATGGGTGTGAAATTGACAAGAAAGCAGGATGCTGTGGGGCTCAGCCTAGTTTTGGAGCTGCCAACAGCTCTGGGAAGTTGCTCCAGCAGACAGTGCTGGAGAAAGGGCTGGGACAGGTCTTGTGTAGGGTTTGTTGGGCCTGACAGATGGGATGGTGGGGTAGATGCAGTGCCCTTTTACTAGAAGCCCACTTCAAGCAGTTGCTGGCTGAGGAGAATATCTTGGTTTCCAGAGAGGCTTTGAGCTGTTTTTTGGAGGTGATTTCTCTTCCTTGAGGCTTCCCTACCGCCATCTCTCCAAGGACAGGTTCTTTGCGAGGCATCTGGATGTCTTTGCAACACCCAAAATGCTCCCAGTTCTTCTAAGGGAAGTATAGTCTTTTTTTCCAATTGTTTCTAGTCTTCCAGTCAAGCCAACGCCTGACCAAGGAAGACCCAACTTCCCAACCTGCCTAAGTTGGCAGCATTAAGCACCTGCACTTTAGAGGTCTGTTCTGCCTGGTTTCTCTCCCCATTTCACCCTGGTTCTCCAGAGCAGGTTTCTGTCTCCCCAGAACATCTCTGAACAAGCACTGATAAGCCAACACCTTTTCTTTTAGTAGCCATTGCGAAAAACTTTGCCTGTCTTCCTTTGCATTTCTTGATTTTTGCCTGAACTTACAGGAAAACTTTATAAAAAATCAACATAATCATATGCCACAGCCTTTTTTTTGGCTTGCAGAACAAGGGATGCTGCAGTTACATCTGTACCAGATGTTCTTGCTAGAGACTGTGCTGTTGGCACCAACTGTATTGCATGCTATCTGGTATTGCCCCAGCAATACAACCACAGTTCTGTCATCAAGTGATGACAAGGTCCAGGAGATGTTTACAATATGCAATATGGATGATGCCACCTTCTTGGGAGGGAGTTCACTGCCATGGTCTTCCTGTCCTCAGTATCCTCAAGGCCAGAGATCACCTAATATCCTAGTGCAGGTACAGCCTGACTTGTCTGTCCATCCAGGTCAGTGTAAACTCAGAAGTCCTCCAATTTGTCATCTCTTCCATCTCTCAGACCACTGCAGATAACTGAATCTGAGGACTTGCTACGGCGTTCTCAGGCTCCCAGACCCACAGGTGGAGTTGGGAACTGCTCCTTTTCCTTTCTGGACTGCCAAGGTCCAGTTTCAGCTGCAACACCTTCATTTCTCAGGTCTTGCTGGTATATCCACTCTGGAAGGAGAAGAAGCCACCCCTGGGCCTCTGCTCTTTGCTGGAGAGAGCAAATGCTCCGCTCCTCCCTCTAGGCAGGCACAGCCAGGACAGCTCTTTCCCCTTCCCGAATAAATTCTCCACTTTCCAGGCACCAAACCCCACAAATTTGCCTCGTCTCCCTCTGCCCAACATGAATTTATGACCCTGTGGAGGCATGCAGGATGGAGCTGGCAGCATTTGAAGCTCATGGACTTCTGAGAAACACCAGCAAACAGCAGAGGTGTGTTTCAAAGGGCAGCTACACTTTCTGTGTAGCCCCATGGACCAAGAGCTGTCTGCCAGCAGAAAATCCCATAACCAAATTCTCTGATCATCCCAGGAGCTGGGCTATAACCCTTCATCTTCCATCACAGGACACTTCTCATGGTCTACAGAACCGTCTTGATGCAAACAACGCACTCCTGCTAGCTGGACGAAGACTTTGCCATTGCCATTTCCAAAAGTGCAGACCCCAGCCCTTTCATTCCAGACAGGGAAACTCAGATTTTGAACAGGCTGTGGACACATCGCAGTAGGGGATAGTGGCCTCTGTGCCATCTGTCCCCCAGAGGCCACCCTCCTCAGCAGACAGTCCTTTCTGCCCTTAGGTACAGACGAGGGGGTGCGGAGGGGCCGTATCGAGTGGCTCCTTCCTTCCTTGAGTTGTTGTCCCCTTTTTCTAACTGTTGCACAATTTTAGGGTTTTTGTAACATTTTTTTTGGACAAGCAGGGAAAATATGTTCACAGTGGTTTAAGAAAAAAAAAAATCAAGATCTCTCTCTCATATTATATATATATAAAAATATATATATATGCATACAGGAATTCTCTATGGAAATATTTATTTAAGATGACTGCAAATATATATATATATTAATTAAGAGTATACTAAGCTTTGTCAAGCAACATAAACCAGGCCCTGGGGAGGGGTGGCTGCCCGTCCCCTGTGTCTGTAAGTCCATACGGTTGCAGCTGAAGCCTTTATCCTTTTGTATGCTTTCTCAATCCTTCGAGCAGTGCGACCACGTTGGATTCTGTGGGCTCTCGATGCGGGGGGGGAGGGATCGGTATCGTTTCCTTGTCCTTTGTTTTCAGAACCTGTGGCTGCAAACGGAACGATCACTGTTCGACTCGGATGCGATACGTGGGAGGGCAGCGGGGGGGCCGGGCGCGGGGCGGGAGGGCAATTGTCCGTTTTATTCTTGGTGTTCAAGTGCAATAAATAGCTAACAACTTCTGAGCATGGAAACGGGTGATTCTCCGTCACTGCAGTGACTCAGGCCGTTTGCATCCCCCCGTTGCTGCCCATAAAAGCAGTGAGGCTTAGAGCAAAGCCTGGGTTCCTGGGCTCACCGTGGCAGCTTCACGTCACCCCCAGCCCTGGCTGTCCCCGTTGCAGGGTGATGGGAACACAGCGCTGGGCTGCTCTGAGGGCAGCAGGAGGAACTCAGGGGTGATGTGGAGCCGTGGGGCGGCGTGGCATGGCTCGGCTCCGCGCCTGCAGTGGTGCTGCGGTCCCACGAGGTGTCAGCAGAAGGCTGTGCTGCGGGAAGCAGGCAGCGCCTGTCCCGAGGCCAACCTCTGCCCCTTGGCAGTATTTCCGTCACTCCGTGCCAAAAAGTGTTGCTGCAAGGTCAATGCAGTGGCAGAGCAGGGTGTTCCCCAGAGGGCGGAACGCGTGGAGGCGTAGGGATGGATGCAGTGCTGTGTCCCAGTGCGCTGTGCCCAGGGGACGTGTCCCTGCCCCGTCCTTCACACTGCACCTCCAAGCGATGGCAGGCATGCAGCCTGTAGGATTCCATAGGGGAATGTGGGGCCAGGACCCCATGGAGCCACGCAGAGCCCAGAGCAGAGTGCCCAGCTCAAAAATTCTCCATCTCCACAT